TTTTGAGCGCAAAATTTCAAAAGAAAGAACTCCGACTGCTGACGTTTCAGCGCATGTACGTAATTGCAATCGCGCTAAATAAACAAAAACTTGTGCGACAGCAGTATCGATTAGCTAAAGATCAAAACTCAACTTCTACAGGTTTTCATCTGGTATTCGCGTATGAAGTTTTTCTGGAGCAACTCGAACAATCTAGCAATTACCAATATTAACAATTACCATAGAGTGCTCCTTCGAAGGAATCCTCATTACTTCTTAGAAAATTTTCTTGTTGAACATATATCAATTCTCCTTTCAGTGACCATTGGACCATATGGAGAACAAGTGGATGGTAATAGTTTTGAAAAGGAATTATTTAGCATGCGTTGCAAAGCAAAACTAACAAGAATGTGTGCTGCAATGAATCAATGAAATAGTTTGGCATAAAATTATATATTATGATTTTTAGTCCATCGTCATATATTTGAACAATCTCGAGATTAGATTACGTATTTTATATTCCAACCTAAAGTGATTTAAAATTTCATAGTTGGTAATTTTTATATCGCACAATAATGTGCTTCAACATAAGCCTGGCACGTCAAGCTCATCTGGCCTTCTCTCAAATTTTTAATTATCCCCAATTCTCATCTGATTATTTATACCAGAATTCACTAATATGTGGTTTTGCTGTGTGAAACATCAATTAACAAACTTTATCCTTTAGTAGTATGAAACGCGAGTTCCAATTCTTTTAGGCAGTGAAGAAGACATCGAAGCAATGGAACAACTGGCACATAACGCACAAAATCTCATGCTCGCCGTCAAGGATACCGTACGAGCAGCAGAAGCGGCCAGCATCAAGATCAAAACAAACTCTGGTCTTCGCCTACGCTGGATTCGTAAACCAATGTGGTCAAATTTCTAAACGCGCCATACATTATTTCATCTCTCGTCTACGCTCAATTCCTTAACACGCTCTCTGCAGGAGTGTGACCCCTCATCATCACGTCCTTTCATCCGACGGTTTTTACCGTTCACCTAAAGCTTATCAACTATTGAAAGATTGTCTGCAGTTGCATAATAGCCTATTTCACGATTCAGTTTGCTCTTTGTGCTGGTGTTTATTCGCAAAAGTGCCTTTCTCATTTTTCTCTTTTTATTAAAAAAGCCTTTTTGTTGAAAGCCCTTACTCAACCACTCAACCTGTGTGCATTTTGTGTGCAATTGCGCCTACCGTATCACCACTGCCTTGGCTAAGACTCAAATGGCTAATCGATTATCGATTATCATCGGCGAACTAGTCCACTTTATAGCTCATATTGATTAATCTGTACATTTTTCTATTCAGTAATACAGAGACAGTGAGACAATACTATGGATTTATTTTTTTGTTTATGTGTACATGCTGCGGATAAAGCCATGTTTTGCATAGTTCAACTTCAATTGAAGATTTAAATTATCACTTGTTAGAACAATTAAGGCAGTTGCATCAAAGCTGACATCGAGCATTACCGGTCCGAACTTTGGCATTTCCATCTTACTTGAAGAAGATGCGATTTTTTGGTTGATATTCTTCGGCAGACCTGTGCTTTGGGATTCTTTACCACTCCATCATGCTTTAGATATTGGAGAACACATTACCCGTATCTTCGTGAAGTTTAAATTGCGAAATTCCATTGTTGTGAAGAGCAGTTATGACAAATTTGAAAAAAAAAACAAAAACAAAAAAGAGTCTT